TAAGCTTTGTAGTATTGTTCTGGAGCCCCTGGGTCGTGCAATCCATTAACACACGACAGCATTGTACTAAAAAGTTGGAGGTTGCAGCTCACCCGGAGATGCTTTGGAAGAAAGGCCTGGTGATCTACTTCCAAATAATCATCCCCTGAACCTCCTGTGGAGCTTAGTTGTATTCTGACATGCAGGGAGCCACATGTAGGAATCAACTCAACCCCATCTGTTACCACGAATGCTTTAATTTTGCTTGAAAGCCATTTTTGTTGATTTTTAGCATCTCAATCTTCCTTTCACATACATTGGAAGAGACCAACTCTGGGAAGGACATCATGCTTAGTAATGTAGCAGGGCAGGAAAAAAGAGGAAAGCCAAGATGGATTGACACAATGGTTACAACAACAGGCTTAAAACAAGTACAATTATGAGGAGGTCACAGGACTGGGCAGTGTTTTGTTCTGTTGTACACAGGGTTGTGATTATTCTGAAACTACTCAATGGTGCCTAACATCCTAATAACAACATGGTCACGCTGAAGAAGAATGACTTCCCACCCAAGTGAATACTTGAGGGGAATGAAAGTTGCATGGACAGTGAGAGATGAACATATTGGGAAGAAGCAGCACATGCCAATGCCCTAGGGTAGTAACAGGCCTGCATGTTTGGGTAGGTGAATAATAGGAATGAGATTCAAAGAGGAACTGGTTGAGCTAGATTCAGGTTATGTAGATCCTTGTGTGCCAGTATAAAATGTTTCCTTCCTATATGGTGCACAGTGAGAAGACACTAGATAAATATGCCGGGGCTAGTGCATGACCAGTGCAATTATATAGGGCTCCATACTCATAAAGGTCTTCTGATCCAATGCTGGCAATTGCCTTCCTTCTTTCTTTTAATTTGCCATCAAGTCGGCTCTGACCCTTAGCTACCCTATGCACAGCAGAGGGAAACTCTGCACAGTCCTGTGCTGTCATCACAATTGTCCCCACGCCTGAGTCAATGGATGCAGCCACTGGGTCAGTCCATTTCCTTGAGGGTCTTCCTCTTTTTCCCTGCCCTCCACTTTACCAAGCATGATGTCCTCCTTTAGGGACCGGCCTCTCCTGACAATATGTATGTAAGACGACCTCTTACTATCCTTTTCTCTCAGGAGCACTGTGGCCTTACTTCTTTCGCTACAGGCTGGCTTTTCCTATTAGCAGTCCATAGTACTTTCAATATTCTTCTTCAGCACCAAAATTCAAGTGTATTGATTCATCTACGGGTCTTCCAAATTCAGTGTCCAACTTTCACATGCATATGATGCCATGGAGAATACCATGGCTTGGGTCAAGGGCACCTTAGTCCTCAAGGTAACATCCTTGCTCTTCAATACTCTAAAGAGATCTTATGCAGCAGATTTAAATAATACAACATGTCTTTTGACCTCTTGAGTGCTCCTTCCACGAGCATTGATTGTGGATCCAAGCATGCATAAATTTGAAGCATTGTCAAATATTGAAAGCCTTGGAGAGTGGCTGTTGATGAAGAAACAGGCGTTAGGCAACTCTTTAGGGAAACTTAAGAAATGTTTTATTGGCATATAATTCACATATCAAACAATTTAATACTTCAATCATATTAAGCAAAGTTGTACAATCATCACTACAATTAATTTTATAACTTTTTAAATAAATCATTTAATTGGGGGTTCTTACAGCTCTTATGACCATCCATCCATCAATTGTATCAAGCACATTAGTATATATATTGCCATCATCATTTTCAAAACATTTCTGTTCTACTTGAGCCCTTGGTATCGGCTCCTCTGTTTCCCCTCACCTCCCTCATGAACCCTTGATAAATGATCAATTATTATTATTTTCTTAGGCTGCCCGCTCGCTCCCTTCACCCACATTTGTGTTGTTCGCCCCCCATGGGGAGGTGGACGCTACACTTTGGGAGGTTATACGCTGATCATTGTGTTGGTTTCCCCTTGCTCCCCTTCTCACACCACCTTCTCAAGAACCGCTATGCTCATTATTGATCCTAAGAGGGTGAGCTGTCCTGGATTCCGTGTATTGAGAGCTCTTATCTGTACCAGTGTCCACGCTCTGGTCTAAACTTGGAACTATTTACAGCCACCCCCCCGTTTTTTTCTTTTCTTTCTTCTTCTTCCTTTTTTCATGTCTAGCTATATACGATAGGCAAGATAAACAACCTGAGGATAAAACAACAGCACAACTGCCTCTTGATCCCTGTATGAGTTCCACATGAGCACAATGAAATGTTCTGGACCTCCCAGTTTTCTTAAGTTTGTCATCCACACCGTCAAACGCCTTTGCATATTTAATAAAATATAAGTAAACGTCTTTCTGGTATTCTCTGCTTTCAGGCAAGATCCATCTGGCATCATCAATGATATCATTTGTTCCACATCCTCTTCTGAACTGGGCGTGCACCTCTGGCAGCTCCCCGTCAACGTACTGTTGCAACCATTATTGGATGAGCATCAGCAAAATTTTACTTGCATGTGTTATCAATGATATTTTTCTATAATTTGAGCTTTCTGTTGAGTCACCTTTCTTTGGAATGGGCACAAATATGGATTTCTTCCAATCAGTTCACCAAGTAGCTCTCTTCCAAAATTTCTGGTATAGAAGAGTGAGTGCTTCCACTGCATCGTCAGCTTGTTGAAGCATTTCAATTGGTATCCCATCAATTCCTGGAGCCTTGTATTTGCCTAATGTTTTCTGTGCAGTGTGACCTTCTTCCTTCAGCACCTAGTTCTTGCTCATATGGTACCTCTTTAAATGGTGGAACATCAACTAATTCTTTTTGGTACAGTGACTCTGTGCATTCTTTACATCTTCTTTGGAAGGATCACTCAATATTTTGCCCATAGAATCTTGCAACATTTCAACTCGAGGCTTGAATTTTTTTTGAGATTTTTCTGTTTAATATATGTTGATTGTGTTTTTCCCTTTTGGTTTTCCAATTCTAGGTCTTTGCATATTTCATGGTAATATTTGACTTTGTCATCTCTAGCTGCCCTTTAAAAATTTCTGTTCAGCTCTTGACTTCGTGATTTCTTCCATTTGCTTTAGCTGCTCTACTCGGAAGAGGAAGTTTCAGAGTCTCTTGTGACATCTACTGAGGTCTTCTCTTTCTTTCCTGCCTTTTTATCGACCTTTCTCTTTCCTCATGTCTGATGTTCTTGATGGTCTCCCATAGCTCACCAGGTCTTCTTTCATTAGTATTCAGTGTGTCAAATTTGTTCCTGAGTTATTCTTGAAATTCAGGTGGGATAAACTCAAGGTCGTATTTTGATCATATCGTGGACATATTTTAATTTTCTTCGGCTTTAACCTGAACTTATATGTGAGCAATTGGTAGTCTTTATCACAGTTAGTCCCTGACCAGGTTGTAGTTGCTGATATTGATCTTTTCCAGCACCTCTTTCCACGATGTAGTCAATTTGATTTCTGTGATTATGTATTGAGAAGTCCACCTTTTGTTGCTGAAGAAGGTATTTGCTATGAACAAATCATTGGTTTTGCAAAATTCTATCCAATTTCATTTCTATCACCATGACTATGTTTTTCACCTACTATTCTTTTCTCTTTATTTCCATCTTTTGTATTCCAATTGCAAATAATGATCGATGCATGTTAATTGCATGTTAGATCAATTTCCAATTGAAATGGTTGGTATAATTCTTCAATTTCTTCATTACTGGCTTTTTTGTTTGGTACATAAATTTGCATACAAGTTGTATTGATTGAATTTCCTTGAAAGGAGATAGATACAATCGTATGACAGACAACATTGTACTTCAAGATTGATTTTGCAATGTCTTTTTTGTCAATGAATGCCACCCCATTCCTCTTGATTTTTTATTCCCAATTGTACATCATATGATTTTCTCATTCAAAATGGCCAATACCAGTCCGTTTCAACTCAGTAATGCCTAGGATATTGATCTTTATAAATTCCATTTCATTTTTTGAGGACATCTAATTTTCCCAGATTTAAACTTCACGCAATCATAAACATGATATTAGGTTTTCCCTGTGGCATAACCTATTTATTAATTCCTTTATCTTCCACTATTATTTATTCTGCCTTCCACTTGTTATTTATTTGTAACCAAACTTTTCCATCTTGGGCCAGGACATCAGGTTTATCTGCTGTGTCAGTCCAGAATGCTGGTGGCAACACCAGTCTAACAAATTCTTCTCTCTCAGTCCATTCCCGTTCGTGTTGAGTAGGGTTACATAGGTACAAGACTAATGAACCAGCTGAACCCTGGCCAATCAAACACTATTCATACTCATCCCCGGTTTTGCCAGATGGGAAGAGAACATATTCCACCCTATTAGGCCCTTGGGAATTCTCACATAAAAATCAACTTGGGGGCTCCCCAGTCATAGATTTCAAAGGAGCTCTGAACTCATGACTAGGCTCACGATGCTTGGGGAAAACATGGCTTCTTTGGGGTGATGATCTGACAAGTGAGAATGGCAACAGAGATGGTGGTGTGAGTGACAGAGCATTTATAGCAATTGATCATGGAATTTAAACTCTGTAAGGAGAAAAGTGAGAGCATGATGGGGCTGTTGTGAGTTGGCTCTCAATTCATGACAATCCCATGTACAGTGGAGGAAAACCTCGCCTGGTCCTGATTCATTGTAGTTCAGACCAGTAAAATTTATATTGTTTTCATGGACTGATACTCTGACTTAGATAGCCAGATCTTTCTTCCTAATGCATTTTAGTTAAAGTTTTATGGAAGCCTGTTTAAAATGGCAGATTGCAACGTGCAAGCATCAACTGACAGAGGGTGATGGCTGTACATTAGGGACATTGGACTTGGGAATCCATGAAAGAAAAATTGGGGGAGGGGGGGTGTCTTCTACAGAGAAGGCAGGAATTCTACCACTGAATCAATACTGCCCCCCCATTAAGGCATTAAGGGGTGTGAAATGTGATAAAATACATTGAAGCTCTTGGATAGTTTGGGGTACATGAAGAGGCAAGCTAAACATTTACGAGGGGTAAGTAGTGAATGTTTGAAACGGATATTAAGAATTTCTGAAATAGAACGCAGAGAAGACGATTTAAGGAGAGGAGTCAACGATTACCGAAAAGCTAGGGATCTGTAATCAAGCAAACAAGCAGGCAAACATTGAAATGATGCTTCTGATGTAGGTGTTTTCAGGAACTCTAATTTAGGGAGACGTTGAGTCAGTGGTGTCTCAGTGGTAGAAATCTCACTTTTCCTAGATGTGACCCACTTTCCATTCTTATGTAGTGTAACTCATAGGCAATTACTTCAGTGGAAGCTTTTGTGTTGTCAGGATGCAGAACGCAGCTAAGACAGGCTATGAAGAAAGATCTAACAATCTACTTCCAAAAGTCAGTCCAAGAAAACGTGTGGATTACAGCAGTTTGATTCAATTTTACACACGGTCATCATGAGCTGATGGCCAACTAGATGATAACTAGATGGTGAAAAACAAAAGCAACAATTTAGGAGAGTTGACTAGCTAAACAGAATGTCGAAGTTAGGAAAAAGGAGGAAGGAAGGATAGAAGAGATGTAAAAAATAATAGCACATAGCATATTAATGTGCTGAGTATTTTTCAGGTATCATTTTTATTTCTTATAACAACATTGAATACTAGAGACTGGTTCTATGTCTATTTTATAAATTATGAACATGAAGGAGCTGAAGAGAGTTTAAATAACATGCCCACAGACAGCACTACCCATTTCCAAATCTGTAAAAACAAGTCTTGCTGTCCTTGCCTCTATGAAGCATTCTGGCTGCACTTCTTCCCAGGCAGACCATCTTGTCCTTTTAGCAGTCCATGGTACTTTCAATATTCTTCTCCAGTGCCACAATTCAGATGAATCCATTCTTCTTCGGTTTTTCTTATTCAATGTCTCACTTCCACACACATATGAACCTACTGAAAATACCATGACTGAGTCAGGCACACTCTAGTCCTCAAAGTAATGCCCTTGCTTTTCAATACTCTTGTAGTATTAAATTAAAAAATTGCGTGGGGGAGTGGGGTGCCAGCCCCCACTCGCTGCTACTACTATTACTACTACTCGGATTCAGTAATGCACAATTGTACGGTGGAGATATATAAGTATCATATTAGAGTCATCGAGAGCATGAGAGATATTACAATAATAGAGTCAGACATGTTACATGGTAGGTAGCATTTCTCACCTCAGCCCAGCTTGGTGGTCCACGTGGAGAGAGGGGGAAGGGAAGGAGGGTAAAGGAACAAGGGAGAGGGGAGTGACCAGGGAGTGAGCAGCAAGGAGCTCAGAGTCAGAGAGCAATCTATGTTGCTGACTCACACCTACATATCTTTTGGGGGCAAGCCAGCCCACTAATTACAGGTAGAGACATATGTCACAGGGAGGAGCTGCACTATAGGTTACACAGCAATGAGAGGGTGCTCTAGGGGTTGGTCTCTGGGTCTCCATAGGAACCATTATCAGTAGGGTGCAAACTCCTCCTACAGGAGCCTGTCCATTGTCCCCAGAGGCAGGGAGCAGGCCCACCCTTGGTAGATGAACCAGCAGTCTGGCAACTGATTGCCTTCAGGGGAGGGAATGCCTGCACATCTGACCTCCCCCCACATACTCTAAAGAGATCTTGTACAGCAGATTTACCCAAAGCAACACATCTTTTATTTTCTTGACTGCTGCTTTCATGAATATTGATTGTGGATCCAAACAAGGCAAAATCCTTGACAACTTCAACATTTTCTCTATTGATCAAGACGTTGCCTGTTTGTCTGGCTGTGAGGATTTTGGCCTTCATGGCACGGAGTGGTAAACCATACTGAAGGCCGCACTCCTTGATCTTCATCAGCAAGTGCTTCAAGTCCTTCTAACTTTCAGCAAGGACAGTTGTGTCAGCTGCATATTGCAGTTTGTTAATAAGCCTTCTTTCGATCCTGATGCCACATAATTCTTCATATAATCCAGATTTTCTCATGATTTGCTCAGCATACAGATTGAATAAGTATGGAGAGAGGATACAATGCTGAAGCACACGGTTCCTGTTTAAAACCATGTGGTAGTTCCTTGTTGTGTGTAAATTACTGCCTCTTGATCCTGAGATGTAAGCAGTAGATTTAAAAGATTAGCCTTTTAAAAACCACATCATATACAAAGCCCAGTAAAATAAGCTATTTTATCTACTCCTCATATTAATCCCGTGTACTAAGTAAATTACCAAGATCCTGCAGTCAGTAAGTACCAGAGGCTGAAGATGAATACTAGTTTTCTGACTTCCTTGTACAGTGAACCCTCGCCACTTCACGCTTCGACTTCCGCGGCTTCACTCTATCGCGGTTTTTGCGTAACAGCGCATGCTCTGTCATTACTGCCACTGATTGGCTCATACTGTACACGCTTGATGCCATAAATAATATAATAAATAATACATGATAATTGTAACTTCCAAAATGTTTTACTGTATTTTCCCTTTTTCGTTTAATAAATTGGGTAATACGAGTGTAATGGTGACTAAAAGGTATTTTTTCATGTCCTCTATGCTCTAACTACGAAAATATTTGATTTACAAATAAGGAATCCTACTTCGCGGAAGTTCATTTATCACAGTAGAACCGATTAACCGCGATAAACGAGGGTTCACTGTATACCCCTTCCATTAACTACATGGCCGTTTCACTTCCCAAAGACATGATTCAGGAAGAAACTTTCTAAAAAGGGTCAAAAATGTTTTGAGTAAATGTATCTATCTATGTACATAATAGTATTTTTTTTAAAAAGAACTTAATGAGACTTATAATTACTATGTTTCCACGGGAACATTAATTAGCAAAGAATATAGCATTCTTCCAGTTGTGGCTTGTTCTTCCACAGATTCATGTATTCACTGAAATAATCTTTCTTGAGCCAATAGTCTGTGCAGGCATGGACCTGGCTGCAGAGGATACAATCAAGCAGAAAACACCCTTGCTCCAAAGGCACCCTCTGTCAGCTCCAGGTGTTCAGAACCCCAAATACTCTCGGCCTTTTCATGCCCCAGTGCAATTTAAGACATTGTATTTGACCTAGAATACACTCTATCCCATAGGACCCGGTTTCCTAAGAGACCACTCCGTTCCCTGATGGTTTTGCACAAACTAAGATCAGCAACAGTGCCTTGGAGACGAAATCTTAAATTTGGACCCTAGGGAAATAGTGCCAAGGTGTTTTCCAAAAAGGAATTTCTTACAGCACAAGGGCCCAGTTTTAAAGCTAGGCTTAGGAATCTACTCCCCTCTTGGCATCTAATTGGCCCCTGTCATCCTGGCCAGTCCCTTATTCACCATTGTGGCTATGGATTTTATGAGAAATGTTGGTTTATGTAAATGTATTTTAGTTCAGGTTGACTAGAGAAACAAATTCATAGACACTCGTGTATAAGAAAAAACTTTATATAAAAGTGCAATTGTATATGAAGGAAACACCCCATCCTAGTCCAGATCAAGTCCATAAATCCGATATGAGTTCATCTGTCCGATACTAGTCCACAAATTTCTCTTTAGAGGAATCACACAGCACATGCAATGATGTCGAATGCCAGAATATCATGGGCCAGTGGGTAGATGGTCTTGTGGATCCAGTGGCAGTGGAAGCATCTCAATGCTGGCGCGGGTCTTCTCTAGCTCTCTGAGTGTCTCAACAGCAGGAAAGGGAAGGCAGAGAGACTGGGTTTAGCCCCCAGTGAGCTACTAATCTCCATTGCACCTCCTAATGAGGTCATCAAGCTGCAGCCTGATTGACAGGCTAGATTCCACTCCTTTGCTCAAATTGACAGGAAATCATGTAATTGCCAAAACATGTTTATTTATTTCTGTCTCTGTGCTCAACAACCTCCTATCAGAATGTTAGGCAAAAGCCAACTAAGGCAGAATCCTGTGTATTAGTCCAGGAGGAAACTAAACACCATGTATCTAGAAATTGGAATGTAACCCACTTTGGGATGATTCTGAAACAGCTGAGGTCCTGAGTAGGAGATAGCTGTGGTAGAGAAGTCTAGCTAAACCCTCCTCTGCCAAGTCAATTTCAACTCACAGTGCCTCCAGGACAGAGTAGAACTGCCCCCAAGGCTTCCAAAATTGCAATCTTTATGAAAGCAAATTGCCACATCTTGTTCCACAGAGTAGCTGGTAGGTTTGAATTGCTTACCTATCGGTTAGCAGCCCAATGTCTTATTCCCAGCACTTCTTAGGATAAATCTAGAGTGCAGTGGAATTTGTGCACTTCTACCTCAGAGTTACGAATTAAAAATGGCATCACTGATGAGTTTGAATTCAGTCTGGTACTTGAAGAGAGAGCCAGGAGAAGGGGACCAAGAAATGTTAGGTTTTGCCCTCCAATTTAGAAGACAACTTGTGCTTTTAGTGGCAGTGTAAAACTGGGTAGCCTTACTTCCCTCTCTGCTCTTATAAAATGTGAGTCATGGTATATTTTAAGAATTACACTGCCTGTCTTCTACATTTGCAAAAGTTAAGTGGGACAAAAATGAAAACTAGGTCTTCCTTTTTTTTTAAAAAATGAAAAGCCTATATTTGATTCCACCATCCAGCTGTCGGTTTGATAAACCGTGGTGCTGCTTTGTGCCGATGACAAATCCTGCTTGGGAAAGGTGAAGAGGACTTGAAGCCCTTACTGATGAAGATCAAAGACTACAGCCCTCAGTATGGAGTACATCTCAAGAGAGAGAAAACAAAAATCCTCACAAATGGTCCAAGAAACAGTATCATGATAAACAGGAAAAAAAATGAAATGTCAAAAATTTTATTTTACTTTGATCTACCATCAATGCCCATGGAAGCAGCAGTCAGGAAACCAAAAGATGTATTGCATTGGGAAAACCTGTTACACGTGACCGCTTTAAAGTGTTAGAAAGCAAAAATGTCGTCTTGAGCATTTGCAAGCCTTGGTATTTTCCCCTTATATGCATGCAGAAGCTGTACAGCGAATAAGGAAGACAGAATGTTGGCATTTAATTATGGTATTGGTGAAGGCTGCCCCAGGTCCTTCTTGGAAGAAGTACACACAGAAGGGGGAAGATGATGAGACTACTCAGGTCCTACGGACACGGTCTCGGAGGGATTAGTTCCAGAAGGACATCGCTTTGGTAGAGAGGGTCAGTGACAAAAGGTGTCATACACTCACGGAGATCTATGGACACAGTGGCTGCACCAGTGGGTTCAAATTCAGGATGATAGCAAGGATTGCGCACGGCTGCACAGTACGTGTTGTACAAAGAGTGGGTCTCTATGAGGTGAACAGACATGTGGGTACCTAATAAGAACTTATTTGATTGGGCTTTTAAGAATCTTTCAAGCATCTGAACATATCCTATGCTCTTCGCATGCAATTTGGTACGGCGCTTCAAGCACCGATTTAATTTATTCGAATTCTTCCTGGAGTTGTGGGACCACATATTCTGCAATCCCTATAGCTTTCAGAAAAGGCAATTTCTAAAGAAGTCCAGAGGGCTGAGACTCAGTTTCCCAACGCTGCGCGCCCCGCCCACCAAGCTCTCCCGAATCCCCTGCACACACACCCCTCCTTCTCACCCCCTGAAGAAGTGCAGTGCAGGGAGCACGCTCCTCTGCCCACTAAGGCGGCCGCGCCCGCTGGCCCCGCCGGCTCCAGGCTAGGAAAGCGCGGGAGCGACCGGCCTGGCGCTGGGGACCTGCGACGAGAAAGGCTGTGCTTCTCAGTCCCCCCCAACCTGACGCCCAGCTTTCCACTCCATCTTTCCTCCAACCGCCCCCCACGCCAGCCCGCCCCAGGGCTGCTGGCGAGTGAGATTCCAGGCTTCCGCGCCGCGCGGCCCCTCCCCAGCGCCCACGAGGCTCGGGCGCACACCCCCTTCAGCCTCCGCTTTCCGCCTCGTGGTGCCCAGCGCGCTGGCCTGGCCCTGCCCAGGGCTGTGCCTCCGAGAGCTACAAAGAGGCCTTCGCGGCCGTACCCCGCCGCCGCCGCCGCCGCCC